GTCCATCATTGATCAAGTGGAAGGTCGTGATGTTCCACCATCAATCACGGAGCTTCATGAGAGACTCCTCAACCATGAAGCCAAGCTACAAACTGCCTCTGACACCGTTGTCGCTCCTGTCTCTGCGAATGTTGCTCAACATCGCAACACCAATAACAACTTTCGGAACCAACACAAACAGAAGAGCAACACTCACTGGGCTCCACAAGCACCTCAACATCTGCAGCAGTCCTATCATCAAAACCGATATGAGTCCAAAGGTCCAAAACCTTATCTTGGCCGATGTCAGATCTGTGGTGTCCAAGGACACAGCGCCAAACGTTGTACTCAACTCCAAGCCTTCCAAGCAGCATCTCACCACCCTCCGATGACGTCCCCACAACCATGGCCTCCTCGAGCCAACTTCACTGCGGCCACTCCATACAACGCCGCAAACTGGCTCCTTGACAGCGGTGCAACCCACCACATCACCTCCGACTTGAGCAACCTCGCGCTTCATCAACCTTATCAGGGTGCCAGTGATGTCATGCTTGCTGATGGCTCCACAGTCCCAATACACCAGACGGGTTTTAAATCCTTTCCCACTCTTACTCGTGCTCTAAATCTCCATAAAGTTCTATATGTTCCTAACATAGATAAGAACCTTATCTCGGTTTATAAGCTGTGTAATAACAATGGTGTTTCTGTGGAATTCTTTCCCTCATCTTTTCAGGTGAAGGATCTGACAACGGGGGCCCGGTTGCTGTGCGGCAAAGCCAACAATGAGCTCTATCAATGGCCACAGACGGTTCCTCAAGTTCATGCTGCATCCACTTACCCAAGTGCGAAGGCAACTCTGACCTCTTGGCACTCACGTCTGGGGCACCCTTCTACTCTCATTCTCAATAAACTTGTTTCTCGCTTTTCTCTTCCTGTTTCAGTACCCTCTCAAAAACATTTGTCTTGCAATGATTGCTTTATTAATAAAACTCATAAACTTCCCTTTCATAACTCAACAATCTCATCACAAAGACCCCTTCAATATCTCTTCTCTGATGTCTGGACCTCCCCTATAATATCTTCTGAAAATCACAAATACTACCTTGTTGTGATAGATCACTTTACCCGCTACACATGGATGTTTCCATTAAGGCAGAAGTCTAAGTCAAAAACACAATAATTGTCTTCAAGCAGCTTGTCGAAAACTACTTTCAGACGAGAATTGGTACCTTCTACTCAGATAATGGAGGCGAGTTCTTGGCCCTCAGACAATTCTTTCAAGATACAGGCATCTCACACTTCACTTCCCCACCCCACACCCCAGAGCACAACGGTATCTCAAAGAGAAAGCACCGTCATATTGTTGAAACCGGCCTCACCATACTCTCTCAAGCATCCGTTCCCAAGAAATATTGGCAATATGCCTTTGCCGTTGCAGTTTATCTGATAAACAGACTACCCACGCCTCTCTTGTCTATGGAATCACCATTCTTCAAGCTCTTTGGTACGCAACCTAACTATCAAAAGCTGAGAACTTTCGGGTGTGCGTGCTATCCATGGCTCCGCCCTTACACTCGCCATAAGATGGATGACAGATCGATTCGGTGTGTGTTCTTTGGCTACTCTGCGACACAAAGCGCGTATATCTGTTATGATGTCGGCAAAGATCGCATGTATGTGTCTCGCCATGTTCAATTTGATGAGCTACAATTTCCATTTGCTCAGGTGGTTCCCACTGCCACACCGGAGCCTTCCAACGCCACCGCAGCTGCAAATCCGTCTCTACATCACATTCCTCTAGTCACCGCCATGCCGCCGAGCCCCCCGTCACCAGATCCTCACCCCACCGTCGCCACACCGTCGACAGCTACAAATGCTCAGGTATCGCCTCTCATCTCTGCAACACCTTCTGTTCCTCCCTCCTCTGAGCCCACTGCTCCAACTCAAAATGGGCTGCAACCCACGGCCCAGTATCCCAACCCCTCTCCACCACAAAATACCCAACCACCTCAAAGCCCAACTCAACCACCAAACCCACTCACAAATAACCCAACATCTACTCAGCATTCTTCACCCTCCTCCTCCGACGCGTCGTCGTCCTCTCTGCAACCACCGCAGCCTCCGATTACCACAATTCTTCCTGTTACAAACACCCATTCCATGTCCACACGAGCCAAAACCGGTGTTCGTAAACCAAATTCCAAATACCTATATGCCCTTCAACTCACCCAAAATACCGAACCAAGAACCATTCATCAAGCTCTAAAAGATGAGATATGGCGTAATGCAGCCACTGCCAAAATCAATGCTCACATTGCGAACCATAGTTGGGATCTCGTTCCAAAACCACCAGGAGATGTTACCATTGTTGATAACCGATGGATTTTCACGACGAAGTATAATCCCGATGGCACCGTCAAACGTCCAAAGGGTCGCTTGGTCGCGAAAGGATACAATCAACGACAAGGTCTGGATTATGCAGAAACATTCAGTCCCGTTGTCAAGTCTACAACGATTCGCATCGTTTTGGGTATTGCTGTGGATCGCGATTGGCCTATTAGGCAATTCGATGTTAATAACGCTTTCTTGCAAGGTACGTTAACAGATGAAGTTTACATGGCACAGCCACAAGGTTTCATTGACGCCGATCGCCCTCATCACGTATGTCGCCTCCGCAAAGCAATCTATGGCCTCAAACAAGCTCCACGCGCCTGGTATGTTGAGTTACGAACCTTTCTTGTCAACTCTGGTTTCGCTAATTCAGTTTCCGATACGTCGCTCTTTATTCTTCGGAAAGGCCGAGACTTATGTTATGTTTTAGTGTACGTTGATGACATATTGGTTACTGGGAATAATAATTCTCTCATCAATCACACACTTGAAGCACTAGCCACACGTTTTTCGGTCAAAGAACATGAAGAACTCAACTACTTCTTGGGGATTGAAGCCAAGAGAGGAGCCTCGGGTCTTCATCTATGTCAACATCGCTACATCCTCGACTTGCTTGAGCGTACACAGATGCTTGGTTGCAAACCGGTTCAGACACCTATGGCAACCTCACCGAAGCTAACCCTGACCTCTGGAACCAGTCTCACAAACCCCACTGAGTATCGACGCGCTGTTGGGAGCCTTCAGTACCTAGCCTTCACTCGCCCGGACATCTCCTACTCTGTCAACAAACTCTCTCAATTTATGCATGCTCCCACCACGGATCACTGGAATGCTGTTAAAAGAGTGCTCCGCTATCTTGCTGGAACAACAACACATGGCATTTTCCTTCGTCGAGGTAACCCTATTACACTTCATGCTTTCTCAGACGCGGACTGTGCTGGTGATGCGGATGATTACCTCTCCACTAATGGCTACGTCGTCTACATAGGCTCTCATCCGGTGTCATGGTCATCCAAGAAGCAAAAGAGCATCTCCCGTTCATCTACAGAAGCCGAGTACCGCTCTGTAGCGAATACATCCTCTGAGCTCAAATGGATTGTATCACTTCTCTCTGAACTTGGCATTCCTCTCTCCAAACCACCTACTGTTTATTGTGACAATCTTGGAGCAACATACTTATGTGCTAATCCGGTTTTCCACTCACGCATGAAGCATGTCGCCTTGGACTACCACTTCATCAGGAATCAGGTTCGCTCGGGATCTCTACGGGTTGTTCATGTTTCTACCCGAGATCAACTTGCAGACACGATGACAAAACCTCTCTCCCGCCAGCTTTTCACCACATTTCTGAACAAGATTGGCGTTCGTCAACCTCCTCCATCTTGCGGGAGTGTATTGAGGATCAATCATACTCATGATTGATCTCTCGATGTATCTACTTAAGGATACTAAATATATTCTCATTTACTACAAATGTAATACCCTAGCTACTCCTTTGTATATAAGGACTCCTTGTACATTGTGAATTAATCATCCAATACAATACATTTCTATAATTTGGACATCAGTGACAAATCAAGATTTTCAGGGGGGACATACCTGTGTCACCATCTTTTTCCACATCGTCTTAGTTATGAGAGGGTCACTGCAAAAACACAAACAAAAAAAGGTAAACACATAAATGATCAGTTTGCGAAGATTTCCAAGACAACTACTTACTAATTAATTATATCATATTCTCGATACCATTCAGATTTTGTGTACCTTATACCAACTGGTGGGTTTACCATTATGTTGCGAGCTAATGGTTTGTAAGCCAACGCTAGTGGTCCAAAGATGTCGACTTTGAGATTAAGCAACAGTAACTGCATCATGGACAAAGAAGGTTTCAGTCTTTGAAAAACAGGATTACATGAAGATAATATAACAAAAGGGATAGCATTTTCGAACCTGCACGGGATTAAGTGGAAATGCATTATGGAATACAACCTTGAACACACAGATAACCATGACTGGGACATTCACAGTGAGCCGGAATATGACATATCTCTGGATGTTGGTGTACAGAAATCGACACCATTGGATAACCTGCATTGTCCAAACAAGCCTTGAGAATCGTGATAAAACTGTTTGCTCTCTTTGTTGCATGCATTTCTTCATTTTAACCATGCATATCATATAACTAACCTTGAAAATCGTATCAAAATCGTTATCCAATATAATAATATCGGCATTCTCTTTCGCTGCGGCTGTCCCACCAATTCCCATTGCAAGGCTAACATTCGCCTGTGCAAAGAAAACATAATCGTTGATTGTTGTAATGATTTTGGATATGTCTTTGAAGTGTTTAGTATGAGAATAATGACATACCGCGCCTAGTGTCATTGTATCATGTATTCCCATCCCAGTGGCTGCAACTACATCTCCACTTCCCTTCAGAGCTTCGACAAACAAAAGACTGTCCTCGGGAGAGGCTTGAGCCAAAACCTTCACAGAGAGTCCACTACTGTGAATTTTTGTCTCGGTCAAGTTCTTGACCATAAACATATGGGTGGACAAGCCATTCCTATGATTTTACTTATCATATAGTTTTGTATGTTAAGCATAAATATTGAAGAATGGATTCATACTAAGATATTTGGGGCGTTCTGCTTTCTTTCTGAATCGGAAAGAACACGAAATTGAGCTCCTGTCATTGTATCAAGGCCATCAAAATTCTCCAGTATCCCACATTCCTTTGCTATTGCTTGAGCAGTCAAAACATCATCCTCAGTCACCATGCGAACCTGAAAATCAACATCTTTCACCACATAACTACGCCACAACTTATTTTAGCGGTAACAAAAATCCACTCTACTAATATAAGTTGATAAGACTTCAAATGTCATGTAAGAGGACGGTTGGTGCTGCCATAAATTTACTCTATGTCAGGCTAATTTAACTAGGCCAATCATGGTAGGCTGGTGCTGCTATACAAATTTATAGCAACTCAGAATATATAATTAGAGATGGACGAGAAGAATGGTAAAACAGGCACCTTAACACCTCCGGAATTGCACAGTTGGATCGCATTCTTTGTGCCTCGCCGGAAAGGATCCTGCACGTTAGTCAAGACATTGGATAAGTAAGATAATAATATGACTTCATAATCAAGTGGAATCAGGTACCAATTATCATTGATACAAACTGAAGTTTCGAAATGAGTGCTGTAAATTTTACCTTTATACCAATAATAGCCAACAAAACAAGGTCCTGAGGTAGTGCATAATGTTCATCCTCAGTTGTTGGAAGACTCCCCAGCTCATAGGATTGATAAGCAAGTGCAGCACAACGCATTCCTCTCTTACACATGTCTTTAATTATTCTTTCCATCTCCTAAGGAGAGAATGAATTTTTATAAATAAAATAAAAATCAAACAAGAATTAATAGGTTATTTGTGAATTAGTAATCTACGCTCATAAACAAGCTACCTGTTTCTGTTCATCAATAGCTATGCGGTTGTTGTCCCCATCCATATACCATTTGCATGAATTAAGAATAACCTTTGCAGATCCTTTCCAATGAACGTGGTGTCCTGTACCAACCTACAAATGAATAAAATAATAAGAAGAAAAAACAACTGTATTAAGAATCAAACATAGCACCACTGTATATGTGTCAAGTGAACACAGGGATATATATATGCTCAGGAAAACAAAGAAAAGTATATATATGTAACCCGTAATGCCACGCCTCCATATTTCTTTTTTGGATTGAAAGGTATAACATGAAGGACTGGTGATCCTAACCTAGCCTCGTCAAACTTCATTCCCAACTACAAAACACGAGTAAAAAACAGTCATTAGTTATAAACTTAAATAGCTATAACAAGTAGTAATGTAAGCTTAGTAAGAAACAAAACCTTGATCCCCCAGCTAAGAATGGCTTGTTCTGTTGGTGATCCATAAACCTTTGGTTCAGTGACGCCCTATAATTAATTAATTATGAAGTTGTTAAGAATAACTTATATGCAAATGAGTCCTACTAGAGAAATTTATTCAAATAGTTACTGTCTAGCTGAACACCGTGATCTAGGACAAATACCGTTTCAGAAACAACACTGCCGTTGGTGTTTCGGGCAATGCCTTCTATTATTATTTCTTTAAGAATCGAGGACAACTGTGAAACATTATCCATATCTTCTGCTCTTATTCCTCCAGCCCAGACATCAACCACCGACATCTTCTTAGCAGTAAATAAATGCTTCAATGAGTACCCAGGAAGTAAAAAAGGAAGCAGGAATGGACAAATTGCATATAAAGGAAAACACTTACCTCATTCGAAGTTAATATTCCAGTTTTATGACACAATATAGTTGTAACATGTCCCATTTTTTTACATGCAGAGAGTTTTTGAACCTGAAAGACAGTTACGGAAGTTTAGCACATGTTGATGCTCTAAAGACCTTGGAGAATTTGGAATATAAAGGTAGAATACCAAAGCGTTGTCTGTCATCATTTCACCCGTAGTATGTGCAAGACTGGTGTAGCGAGGAAAATGATAAGATGAGAAACAAGAAGATGTTACTGTCATGACGACAAGAAAAGTAAACTGCAATGACAAAACTAGAAGTAAGATTTACTTAAAAAGGAAAGGAGCCTTACTTCAAGACAACGGCTATAGAAAGTCCAACTGGCACTGCCACAATTATTGTCTCCATCTGCAAAAGTAATATTTTGCGAGAAAAAAGTTACACAGAGTTACCATTACTATAAGTCTATGCCACCAAGGTAAAGTTGAGAAGCCCCATACCCCAAAACTCATGGATTTTATCACAAATTGCATTGCTTCATCGAAAGTGGTACTTCCGGGCATATACAATGGAGTTCCATCTGGTTTTTTGGTCCAACCATAAAAGTATCTGGAATCAAAAGGATCGTTAGGTCCTCACTATACGCAGGATGGAGTTATAGATCGAACTTAATTAGAACTGAGAGGAGAAATAAGGCCGGTAGGTACATAGTTAAAAAAAGATAGGCTTACCGGCATAACTGAACAATGCAGGCAACTGAAGAGAGCATAATGACCAAACAGCTAACAATAATAGAAATCCGATTCACGTTTACCTAGTAAAAAGTGTCACAGGTGGTAATTAAATGCGCAAACTATAGAAGGTAGCAAGGAATTAGTAACCAATAAAACATACATGAAAGGAATTTTCTTTTGTTAAAGGATTTTCTTCATCAGTCTCATGTTTTTTCTCCATCTTTTTCCCCCATTCAGTGTTTATTCCAACACTTGTAACCTTATAAGTGCACGGGGAAAGAATAAAGTGAAGTAGAAGATCAAAAACCATGTACAGAGAAAGCAATATTAATTACGTAGGGATGTAACATTTCGAAAGTGATAGAAAACACTTTGGAGTAATTATGTTTTTGCAGTAATTATGTTTTTGCAGTAATTCCACAAAAGGCAATTCATTTACTGATAGAAAACACAAGCTTTAATGTCTGAATTACGACTTCTGGCACTAGAAAAATAGACAACATTGGAGTATTCTTTTGTTGCTAAGAGAATATTATGGTTACAGTCTCACTCATCCATGTCAAAGTGACTTATCACTTTCAAGATAGGCCTCGTTTTTACTAATATCAGCTATACTATTATATGAGATGGATGTTCAAGTAAGCATATAACGAAATGAAAAGACATGTCTTGAGATCTTACCAGCATTATACCTATGCCCTCTATCACCTTTGAACCAGATAATAGGAATGGATCATGTAGATGATCTTTTTGAACCTGATAATGTTGGAAAAGGGTGATTAGAAAATAGAGGAGAGAGCTAGGTATTCATTTAGCGCATTAATACCCCGCACATCTTACAATTAAGTGTGAGCCAGTTAATTCTTCCTCGTCAATCTTCAATGAGTTTGCAACAAATAGGACACCATCCGCAGGCACCTGCAGCATGGAGATCATAATTCAGAAAACTGAGGTGTGAAGCTCAAGAAACAAAATAAGCCAAGCAACAATTACTTAGTAACAAAAGTGTCAAATGCTTACCTGAAAACCATTCTTGAGGGGGACAATATCGCCAACAACAATATCATTAGTATAAACCGATTCTCTTCTTCCACCTCTAATAATCTGCAACCAGAAACGTTTCAGCACATACTGTGGGCAGGCACCAAACAAAGAGAAAAATGACACGTGTGCAAGAACATACCTCTTGGCGTACGTTTCTCTTCTCCTCACTGTATTTTTCAATCTGACGAGTCTGCTTGTACTCAGTGATAGCTGCAAAATGGAAGAGGGACAAAAAATAAACAAGATTGTTTTCCATATTCTCTTGTCTGAGGACTGAAGTACAAAACCAAGTTTCAAGCTTGGTATTACAATTAATACCTGTCACAAGGATGTAAGTGACAATGGTCAAAATGGCGCAAGCTTCTACATAGCAACCATCGTGGATAGCCTGCAAGTATCATGAGAGTGGGATATATGGAAGATTTAGAAGAGATCAAAAAAAAAAAAAAAATCCCCCTTACAAAAAGCAACACCTCCTAAAGAGAGCCACATGATATAATAATGTGTGGCTAAATAGAACGATGAAACAACTCCAAAGGGATAAGATAATCTTAATGTCAAAACATAATTACCAAAGAAATAAAAGAAAGGTGATTAAGATCTCATGTTGTGGAGAAACAACTCACCTTTCCGTTTATTCGCAGCAGCAAACTTATAACAGCAGTAAGCAATATAACCACATTAGGAGGAAACTTGGTAGCTTTCCAGATAAGGCTCTGTAACAACAATCAATGGATAAAAAGAGTTTTTAAAGTGAAAAGCCAAATAAAACCAAACATTCTACCACAATTACATATATACCCACAAAGTCTATCCCCTGAGAAAAAACACGTGTCTGATTCTTTAAATAAATAAAAAACAAATCATTGTATTATAATTTTCTTTTTGGTCAACCATTCTTTTATTATATCTAACCAATTGCTGCATGCATATTACCCAGAGAGGGTTTCCGTTTTTGGAAGGGTATGTGTTTGACCCAAACGCCTCCGTACGTTGCTGTATCTCATCGTCTCCCCATTCTATGCCCTTTCCAAGTTCACTCTTCAGCAGAGATGACAACCCTTCAACCTATCAGAGCAAAACATAAGCTAAGAAGCATATATAATTCATGGACACGAGGGAAAAATTGGTAAAAGATGTTACCCCATTATATTGATTTAGAGCTTCAAGGCTACGATCTTTGACCACTTGGAGGAGTTCTTCCACTCTAATCTCAAATCCGCCAGTAGCTGAGGTTGAAACGATAACACATAAAAGAAACGAAATCAATCCATTATGAATTGGAAATCAAACCCTAATTTTTTTTTTACAGATAATCGTTAGGACAAGAACATATATGTACCGTTTGATAGTTCTGATTCGGGAATATCACTTACGAACTTTATCACAGGAGATCAAAAAAAAAACACAGATTAGGAAGAAACAAACTGTGATTATAACGAGAAAGCTTACTAAATAGGAGAGATGTTACGCTTACTGCATCATCATTTCGTCTGCTCCTCCATGGCATGAACGACGTACACTAGTAGTATAAGAGGAGATTCTTAGCAATGAGTTCAACAGCTAGTACACAAAATAAATAATCTGCTAAAAAATCACTCACCAACCACGAGCTCCGGCGATCATGAGCTTCGGAGTCGCCGCGTGGAGCATCGGTGCCGGCTTCCAAGTCCGGTGGAGCTGGAGCAACTTCCGAGAATCTCGACATTGGCAAATCCGTTGCTGGGAGAACACTTCGGTCGGACATATTTCTTTCGGCGTTAGCTGATGACAAGTAAAAGAGGAAAATGCAGTGTGAAAGTTTCTTTATGCTTCTATCCTTAGTTAAAAGAGCAATGCAATAAGTTGAGGGGGGGGGGGGGGNGTTGCTGGGAGAACACTTCGGTCGGACATATTTCTTTCGGCGTTAGCTGATGACAAGTAAAAGAGGAAAATGCAGTGTGAAAGTTTCTTTATGCTTCTATCCTTAGTTAAAAGAGCAATGCAATAAGGGGGGGGGGGGGGGGGGGGAAGCTTCGCGGAAGGTGATCGCAAGCTCCTTTGTCCGTATCCTCTGTCGTTTCAACAGCAAAGTATTTTATTGTTTTGACCAAAAACGAAAAGAAGGTATATTTTGTTCAAGTAAGTCTCAAAGTTGCCAAAAAGAAAAAAGAAAAAAAGGAAAGTATTCAAGGGAAATTCAACTTAGTAACTAAGAAAAGTTATATTAGAAATTAAATTTTTAAATAGTTGTCGATTTTTTTTTGTCACAAAAATAAACAAAAACTTAACCAGGTGGTGTAACTGTAAACGAACTTTGGGATTATTAAATAAGTTGGATACGAAAGCACTCCGTATGAATTTATCTTATGACTACTGACTACACATATTAAATAAGGGAAAATAGCATAAAAAATCTAAAACTGAATTTAATAAAAACCAAAATATCTTCTTATAAACTATTTTTTTTAACGTGTAATTTTTCGAAAATATTTGTTTTAAAGTACAGACAAATTCAAAAATCTTAATTTAAAAAAAAAATCAAAATATTTTCTTAAGAATTTACAAGTGTTTTATTTTTATTCTAAATGAAATTTTGCGATATATGAGTGTATATTTTTTTATAAACTATATCAATACTATTAAAAGGGAATGAGTCTTAAAAAATCTATCTATGAAAGTTGTTTAGACTTTTTTAAAAATATTTTGGTCTTCCCCTTTATTTTCTCTAACCATACAACATTATTATTAATGGTCATATTAATAGCAACTAAAGCAATTTTATTTGCCCCATAATTATATTAATGTATCTTACTAATAATTTAATACCTTGATAGATTTATTTTTTTATTTTGTTAATAAAAACGACAACTATATGATGATTTCGATATGAACATTTTAACTCTTAATAAAACTTTTTCAATATCAAAGATAACCTCTAACTCATATTTATTTGTATGTTATTATTATTAACTAAACATTTAAAAAGCTTATAAGGCAAATGCTTTAAAATGTTATTCAAAAATAAATAGTGTGGATATACCACTAGTAAAAGAAGCACTTTTCGTCATATCAGAATTAATAATAATGTTTTGTAAGTTTAAACGTTTAATTTTGTTGATATCTTCAACGATGATAATTTCTTATATAAAAATAACAATGATTTTGACACTATTGTCATTAGCGATATAACAAAATATGTTATTCTTAATAATGATATGACAAAGAGTGTTCAAGTTAATGGTGATAATGTTTAAAATTATTTACTTTTTTTGTGAGAATATTTAATAGTTTTTAGATGATTTGTCTTTAAAAAAAAGTTTTTAATTTGCAAAATTTTCAATTTAAAAACTTTGAAGTTTTAAGAAAATATTTTTATTTTTATTAAATTCAATTTTAGAATTTTTTTCTGTAATTTTCTAATTTTATTTAAGTTTTTTATTGTTAATTGCAATTATTAATTAAAAAATCAAAAAAAAAACAACATGTGACATACTATTGTAGGTTATAACAAGTCACAATTTTAACTTGACGAACAAGTAAGCCAAGTTGAAGGTTTTTTGTGATACAAATGTCAAGTTGAATGTTTAATATGCTAGTTAAATAAGTTCAATATTTAAAATGCTAGTGAGTGTCACTTTGAAGATTTTTTATTCTATTTTTCCTATTAAATAATATGCAACGTGGTATCGTATATTCTGCAAGTATGAACCCCAACATGTCATCTCCTATATTCGATAAATTTTGTAGGCGTAGGAAGCACAGTAAGGTGTCTCTGTTGTGTGAATATCTATTTCTGATTCAATAAAATAAACATCATACAAGTGGTAGTTTAAAGGCCTAAAGTTGTTGGAATGTACAGATGTATATACGAACATGTGAAAAATTCTACTATACTATATGGCATATAGTATAGGTCGAAAATACCGATACTACAAATGTTTTCGGTGAAAAAGGCATCAAACATTGGTGGAAGAGGTTGAAAAATATGTAGACCAATGAAAGAATATACATATGCTACACAGGTGAACTAACGGACCTCTAACTAAGTGGACACCATCCAACAATCTATACTGTTAAATACATGGTTATAGTAAAGGAAAAACTTTAACACAACATATCACATACCTGATTGCATAGCTTATGGATAAGAAGTAATCAGATATGGAGTTGTATCTGGTGCTTAAATATATTGTCAAAATATAGGATTACACTTATGAATTTAAGGAGCATCTAATTGGTGGAATCTACTATGGAAATGCGTGTATAAGAACTCAATGCCACGTATGCCTATTTTTCAAACTATATACTACATTATAAATCATATAATATAGTCAAAAATATAACACATTAGCTCACCTACGAAATTGCATAGCGTATAGAAAAAAAGAAATCTCGCTATAAATAACTTTAGTATACAAACTAAAATGGCATGTATATGATCCGTTTAACAAACTATACTATATTATAAATTATATAGTTAGTAATAAAATTAATACAAAAGTACACAATCATGTAGAACATCTAAAAGGGTTACTTTTATTCCTCACAAATTGAAGTAGTTGCTTATTCTTTACCGAATGGTTGATTCGATCATGTTTGATACAAACGCTCGAGCAAGCATTATTCCTCTTTCCTAAATAAGGAATAGAAAAACGTTAAGTTAGTAAAACAACATCTGTAAGAGAGAAACCCTATATATACTCTTCATGCCAATGTAACATAAAATAAATGTTTAGTACAATCTCTATACTATATAATACAATAACATAAATATAATGAAAAAAGAAAACAAACAACTTTTTTTGGTTGAGACTAGATTCTATTCATATGTTGGTAGTGACTTAAGAAACTTTCAAACCTCTTTATCAACAGCCAATGATGTGTAAGCAATGAAAGCATGTTCTTCCGTTTCGAAATTCACATCCAAGATACTGCAAAATTTGGCAAAAGAAAAAAACACTCTTACAAGATAACCACAACTTTCTACCAAAAACAAACCAAAATTCTTCTTTTTTTTTTTAAATATAACAAACCAAATTTCAGTGTCTATAAAACAGTGTGATCCTCAAACTACAAACCCCTACAAAAGCAAAATTAGGTCGTAATAGGCTATTTATGTAGGTAAAGATCAAAACTTTGGAGTCTAAATCAAAGAGATTCCTCCAAACGTACCAGACCCAAGATTTCAATAATGGAATCAATATCTTCTACCACCACTATATACAGAGCAAAAACGTAAAGAACAACCAGAAGCTGAACATACCAGCTGAAATCCCAATTTTGGTTAGAAGGAGCTATTGAAGTTAAACTTGATTTTGGGCTTTGCTTAATTTTGGGTTCCAATAATCTTATTGGACTAAACCCAAAGTTAAGAAAATTCTAGAATCTTTCTAGAAAAATCATCACCTCCTCAAGTAGAATAATATCTAGATATTGTAGTAGAAAAATCTAGAGAATAAAAATAAAAATCTAAGAAGTAAGGAGGTTATAGTAG